CTCTTTGCTTTCAAACATTGTATCTTCTTTTTTGGGCACACAAACATCAAATCGTTCAAGTTTTTCATTGGATCTGCTCTCGTCTCAGAAGGCCTCAGATTGATGATATTACCACACACTGGAATGCTCAGCTCACATCCTTCTGGTGTCCTGTACCTCACCCTCTGGCTTTAGGCATAGATTCTCTCAGCTAGGATTGGATGGGTCTTCATTTTTACATTTTTCCTCACATTTGTCTGTTATCCAAGGTTCTTGCACTGATTCACTCCATATCCTGTTAGTTCTTCTGTTGGCACCACATTGGTCATGTCAGCCTTTGTTTCCACTCCTCCTGTATCTTCAGGAGTGTCAACCTCTTCCCTCTCCTCTCTGGCCATCTCTCTTATGTCAGCTACAGTTGGACATTTTTCATCCAACAGTCGACATTCTTTTACTTCACACCTGATTTTTATGCTGTCCATCACACAACATCAGGGATTGACTTCTCAGCTGACATCCTTATTAACACAATCCATTCAACATTCTACTTCAGAAGTTTATCAACAGAAATGGTTTACTTATTGTCAGTGGTCTCTCAGACATGGGTTAAACCCTGCTCATCCCACTGTGATGCAAGTTTCTAAATTTTTGACATGGTTATTTGACAAAGGTTTATCACCTTTGTCTATTGCCTTGTATAAAGCTGATTTATCTGTTACTTTTAATTTTTCTAAGAGAAGAAAAGTATTTTGAGTCCCCAGTTTTGTACTTACTTTAGAAATCATTTCAGGTTATCTATCCTCATCATCCTTTCCAGGTTCCTCATTGGGATATCACAGTGGTCCTCCATGCCTTATCTCATCCACCTTTTGAACCTTTGGAGTCATGTTCACTATATCATCTTTATCGGATGTGTTTGTGCTTCATGTTCACAGGATTCTTTACCATTCCACTTATGTTCTGTTGTATCCAGACAGGGCTTTTCTACCCAAACTTCAGCAGTTAGAGAAGGAGATAAGGCTTTTGCTCCTATTAATCTTCTCTCCTTTTCACATTTATATGACCGCTCGGGTCTAGATCATCTTTTATGCCTGGTCCGGGTCCTTTGATGTTATGTGGCACATACTGAAGCATTTCAGGGCTCACATTACCATTTGTTTTTCCACTGGGATTCTATTGTGTCATGTGACTTATCCCCTGTCACTTTGACAGGTTGGATTCGTCAGTTGGTTTGTATGACTTACTCTGGGCTTTCAGTAGAGGAATAGAACTTCTTTGTGTCTCATCTCATCAAGTTTGACATATTTTGATGTCCCTGGCAGCTCAGTTGCATTGCCCAGTGGAGGAAATTCTACGGGATGGTATGTGGATCATACCTAACACCTTTATGTTGCACTATTTACGTAATTTAACAGTTTCATCTTTGAATAGGTTTCAGCTACCTTCCAGGCTATTCTACATGCCCTGGCTTGATTGTGACAGAGGTGAGTGACTTCATTTCTTCTGTCTTATTATATTCCTTTTCAGGGACCCTCTTACCATTATCATCCCACTCAGTGGCAAGTGTTGCCTGGTCATATATGCTTTTTTCCAAATCTGTACTAGCTACCA